TATCCTATATAATAAAAGGGTAATATGCAAATTGACCCTAACAGCAGAAAGATTGGGAATGACTGGTCACTATGACACACACTGATCACCAGGGTGCAGAAGACGCTCAATGCAGGAGCTGCCCCCTGGTGGTCAGTGCGCTCCCACAGGGGGAAGCTCTGCTCAGCCACAAGCCAGGCTGCCAGCTGCCAGCACAGCGGTGGTGGTGGGAGACTTTCCCGCCTCTTCAGCAGCGCTAAGGATGTCCGACTGCAGCTTAGGCCTGCTCCCCACTGGCAAGTGCACATCCCCCGAGGGCTCCCGGGCTGCCAGAGGGATGTCTGATTGCCAGCTTAGGCCCAATCCCCTGGGGAGCGGGCCTAAGCCAGCAAGTGGACATCCCCCGAGGGGTCCCAGACTGCGAAAGGGCACAGGCTGGGCTGAGGGACCCCCACTGAGTGCACAATTTTTTGTGCCCCGGGCCTCTAGTCCTTTATAATAAAAGGCTACTATGCAAATCGACTGAATAGCAGAACGACCAGTCGCTATGACGCACACTGACCACCAGGGGGCAGACCCTCAACACAGGAGCTGCCCCCTGATGGTCAGTGCCCTCCCACAGGGGAGCACTGCTCAGCCAGAAGCTGGGCTCATGGCTGGCAAGTGCAGCAGCAGTGGCAGGAGCCTCTCCCACCTCTGTGGCAGTGCTAAGGATGTCCGACTGACGGCTTAGGCCCGCTCCCCATGGGCCTAAGCCAGCGGTTCTCAACCTGTGAGTCGCGATCCCTTTGGGGATAAAACGACCCTTTCACAGGGGTTGCTTAAGACCATCGGAAAACACATATATAATTACATATTGTTTTTGTGATTAATCACTATGCTTTAATTATGTTCAATTTGTAAAATGAAATTGGGGGTCACCACAACATGAGGAACTGTATTAAAGGGTCACGGCATTAGGAAGGTTGAGAACCACTGGCCTAAGCCATCCGTCAGACATCCCCCAAGGGCTCCCGGACTGCAAGAGGGCGCAGGCCAGGCTGAGGGACCCCGCTTCCCAAGTGCACGAATCTCGTACACCGGGCCTCTAGTAACATATAAAGTGATTACAAATTTAAAAGCTAAGATGATTGAGGTTTTGAGCCTGAATAATTAGAAGAATTCTAATAGCACTAATACCAATACATGAGAGGCAGGCACAGAAAACCTTTCGGACTCTCTCTTGCATCCATCTCATGACTTTCTGCAGCTTTTTGATTGAAATTAAGTTAGCTTATAATATGTTCTGTACAGTGAATTTCTTCACTATTATTTCTTAGATAAGTCTTCTTTAAAATGTTGATTGATTGATTGAGTATGCCTGCTTAAGTCAAAAGTTTCTGATATATTAGTAATACTTAAGTCTTGATTCTAAATACTCTGAATTTCTCAGTTCTCTTAAACTTTCAGAAATGAATTACTATTTTATTAGGGGTCGGTCTGATGATATTAAGTAAAGTGCTATAACAGGCTTATTAGTATTACTGTTATTACTGTTACTAGAGGCCTGGTGCATGAATTCATGCAGCAGTGGGATCCCTCGACCTGGCCTGTGGGATCGGGCCAAAACCAGCTCTCTGATATCCCCTGAGGGGTCCTGAATTGAGAGAGGGTGCAGGTCAGGCCAAGGGACCCCACGGGTGCACAATCAGGGCTGGGGAGGGAAGCGGGAGGTTGGCCAGCTGGGAAGGGCCAATGGGAGAGCTCCAGGGCATATCCGGCCTGTCTCGCTCAGTCCCGATTGGCCAGACCCCAGCAGCAAGCTGCCTACTGGTCAAAGCTTCTGCCCCCTAGTGGTCAATGCACATCATAGTGACTGGTCGACCAGTCAACTATCTGCCCCCTGGTGGTCAGTGCACATCATAGCGAGCAGTTGAGTGGCCTTAGCATATCATTAGCATATTACGCTTTGATTGGTTGAACAGCCGACCAGACAACCGGACACTTAGTATATTAGGCTTTTATTATATAGGATTATAAACACATTTCAGTATCACCTATACTGTTTTAACTAAATGACATTCTTTAAACAAGCATTTATTTAATTTCTTACAGAACAAACATATTAAGTAACAAGATGAAAGATAAATGACCTCTGAACTTGAGAAAATGAGAGCAGCGAAGAAGCTAAAAATAAAGTATCATAGGACAGTGTGATCATAGTTTGCATAGTTGGTATAATGCAGGGGTCTGTTAACCTTTTTGGTAAACTTTCTAGGCTTTGCAGTTTATCTACGGAAACTACTCAACTCTGTCACTGTAGCACAAAATCAGCTACAGAGAATACATAAGCAGGAGGGCATGGCTATGCTCCAATAAACCTCATTTATAAAGCCAGGTGATAACGGGAGTTGGCCTATAGACCATAATTTGCCAACCCCCTGGTATAAGGGATTTGGAAAGATGTTAGAGGGAAAAATATATTAGAACTGGGCACTGGAGCAAGAGAAGAAGTAGGCTAGGAGAAAAATAGAAGGGAGAAAAAACAGGTACAGAAAGAGCATGTGGAAAGGTTAAAGGTCTGAAAGAATTTGGTGTGCCAAGTGAGGAAATAAAGCCACGAATATAAGTTAGGCCCAAACTGCCAATCACCAAGTGTGGGCCAGAGAAGGGGAAGAGATCAAAGATGATACCAATTGGCTAGTTTGGTTGCCTGGGGGTGCCCCATTATTAGGACAAGGAGATTCATTTTTTCAGTCATTCAATGTGCAGTGCAGTCTGTATGTCTCTGGCTCATCATACAGCCTAAACATTATTCTAAAACATTCAGACATAATTATTGTCCACATTGCAATAATCTTTAAGAGACTCACAAATTCAGGTAAGCCCGGCCAGCATGGTTCAGTTGAGCATCGAGCCATGAACCAGAAGGACATGCTCAGGCTGTGGGCTCCATCTCCAGTGCAGAGTGTGCAGGAGGCAGCCGGTCAGTGGTCCTCTCTCTTCATTGATGTTTCTATCTCTCTCTCCCTCTCCCCCTCTCTGAAATCAATTTTTAAAAAATTTTTGTAAAATTTTGTTAATCCAAGTCAATGTAATCCTATAATTATGCAATAGAGTTTTATAGCAGAGTACTTGATATTTACCCCTGCAAATTTCATCCTACCAGAATGGTTAATGTTTACTGATAAACTAAAATCCAGCATTAGTCAAGAGTCAGGTCATATACTCAGGAAGGAAGCTCATTGTCTTTGTGATTTAATTTGCACAACACTAAGAAATACTCCTTACCCATTCCCATGTTAATGCCCCATTCTAGATTTCTTCTCATGTGGGCCATGTGATTTCTAGCATTAAAATATTAAGGAGAGGAAACTAATTTAAATATTGCTTTAATCAAGGTCTTTCTTGATTAAAGGGTCAATTAGCTGAGCAGGTTAAAGGCTAATGACCAAGCCAAATTTCTAGTCCTACACACAAGTCAGTTAAATGTTGACAAAAGAAAGGGAGGTATGGAATATGCAGCAACAGTGGGCGCCATGAGGGTAAGTAAGAGTGGCAGCAGAGAGAACCGACCATAGAAAGAGAGATAGGAAGAGAGTTTAACATTCATCATGAAAAGTAACGTGAGAAATTCTGTCCTGCACCCACCTTTACTCCTTATCAGTGCTACAAAACCTAGGGGAAAACACTGCTTTCAGAAGCAAAGGTGTGTCCACATGAAGATTTACCTGTATCAAATATGTCAAGCAGATTGACCAAAGTTTCAAATGCTGCAAGCCTCACACTGCAGCCTTCATCCCTGGAGAGTTCTATTAATTCAGGGAGCACCACACTTTTTGTAAGGTCTGTCCTGCACAATAAGCAATGGAAGAAAATAAATCAAATCAATAAATTTATAGCAAGAACTTATTAAAAACAAGTCACGGGGCTAGATGTTACAGGAAACTGGAAAAAATCATAAGACATGGCTCATGCTCTCTAGAAGCTTGCAGGCTGGTTGGGAAAGCTTGATATAACTAAATATTAATATTAACTGCAAAATTATTTAAATCGGGGTATATGCAGGAGGCAACCAATCAATATGTCTCTCTCACATTGATGTTTCTCTCTGTCTCTCCCCTTCCCTTCCACTCTCTCTAAAAATCAATGAAAAAATATCCATGAATGAGGATTAACAAAAAAAAAAAAAATGAAAGAAAGAAATGCTAGTACTATTCTGCTGTCTTGGCCAATCATAAAATGCAGGATCTTCTTCATCAGTATTTAATCTGGAGCAGACAGCTAACCATCAGATGACAACAGATCATAGCCAGCACTGCAGTAGATTGTACCACACAGCCTGACCCTAGAATTCCTGGTTGGCCATGTGGACAAGCTCACCTATTTATTTCATTCATCTCGTTATCCCTGACCCTGTATCTTATTCCCTTATGACCTCTTGGAGGGTTAGATTGTAACGACTAGCACCTAAGCTAATAAAACTGGACTTCTACAAAAATATCAGGATCAGGCTGTCCTCAGACTTCTGTTCCATATACTTAAATAACAGAAGAGTTTTTAGTAAAAAGGATTATAATCTAGAATTCTGCCCAAGCCAGGGTGGAATTTACATGTGAAGACAAGAGAAAAATACTCTCATAAATAAACTACCTTGTGCAATATACAACCCACACCTACTTCCTGAAAAAAATTACTCCAGTTTGCTAAGAGGAAGTAAAGCAGGGAAATGGTTGCATCCTATTTGTATAGGTCTACCATGATGCCTTATTTCCCTGGACTTTTAGAATGTGACAGATGGGCAAAGAAAATGACCATCTACTTCAAAATACAAGTAGCTCCTAACCAAATATTCAACCTCATTGTTTAACACCATTAGCTGTCAGAGAATGAATGAATACACATGAGCAACTGCCTTAAGTAAGCACTGGATTACATATGGGTGAGGTAACAATAAAAAAAGGTATAATCCTGTCTTCCAGGTGCTTCAAGTTTAGAAGGAAATATAGTCACATAGACAGACAGTTATTGAATAATATCTTTGCAAAATGATAGTGAAATACTACTTCTGCCAATGAAATTGGAAAAGTTCATGATAAACCTGAATTATTGGTAAAGTTGCATGTACTACTGGAAGAAACATAAACTCAGTCTTTTTGAGTTCTACAATGTACATTAAAAATTTGCTTATCTTTTACCTGTTTTATTCCAATTTTAGAGAGTCTAAGGAATTAGTTGTTTATATTAAAACTAGTGGCCTGGTGCACAAAATTCGTGCACAGGGGAGGGGGGTCCCCTCAGCCCAGCCTGTACCCTCTCCAATTGGGGACCCCTTGGGGGATGTCCGACCGTAATCTGGGACCACTGGCTTCTAACCGCTCACCTGCCTGCCTGCCTGATCACCCCTAACTGCCCTCCCCTGCTGGCCTGATCTCGCCCCTAACTGCCCTCCCCTGCTGGCCTGATCTCGCCCCTAACTGCCCTCCCCTGCTGGCCTGATCTCGCCCCTAACTGCCCTCCCCTGCTGGCCTGATCTCGCCCCTAACTGCCCTCCCCTGCTGGCCTGATCTCGCCCCTAACTGCCCTCCCCTGCTGGCCTGATCTCGCCCCTAACTGCCCTCCCCTGCTGGCCTGATCTCGCCCCTAACTGCCCTCCCCTGCTGGCCTGATCTCGCCCCTAACTGCCCTCCCCTGCTGGCCTGATCTCGCCCCTAACTGCCCTCCCCTGCTGGCCTGATCTCGCCCCTAACTGCCCTCCCCTGCTGGCCTGATCTCGCCCCTAACTGCCCTCCCCTGCTGGCCTGATCTCGCCCCTAACTGCCCTCCCCTGCTGGCCTGATCTCGCCCCTAACTGCCCTCCCCTGCTGGCCTGATCTCGCCCCTAACTGCCCTCCCCTGCTGGCCTGATCTCGCCCCTAACTGCCCTCCCCTGCTGGCCTGATCTCGCCCCTAACTGCCCTCCCCAGATTTGGTTCTGATTGGTCGGTTTCTATACCAGTCAGCATCAAAAGCTCCACCTCCTAGACAGCCATTGGCTCCTGGCACTTCACCCAGATTTGGTTCTGATTGGTCGGTTTCTATACCAGTCAGCATCAAAAGCTCCACCTCCTAGACAGCCATTGGCTCCTGGCACTTCATCCAGATTTGGTTCTGATTGGTCGGTTTCTCCAGGCCTATTTCTGGGCCTGATCAAAGAGGCGGGGCTGGTCAGCAGCCCTCCCCCCCCCCCCCCCCAGACCCAGAGAGAAACAGGCATGGCTGCTGGTGAACCCAAAGAGAAAGAGAAAGGCAATGGCTGATCAACAGCTGCCACAGAGGCTGCAGATCAGACCCTGCCTCTCTCTCTGCAAGCCTCTCTCCAGGCCTGATCCGCAGGCTCCTTGGCAGTCAGTGCTGGGTCACTGAACCGCACTGGCTAAGTCAGTGCTGGGTTGCCGTGGTGACCCAGCACTGACTTCTGGTGTTCGGTTGAGCCTTGGTTGTTGCGGACGTTACGGATTCTGGCTCTTTATATATATAGATGTATGAGATAATAATAGAAGTAAACACTTAGCTAATGTTTACAAGGTGTCAGGCACTACTCTAAGCACTTTAGATAAGCTAGGTAGATTCTTTCTAGTTTTACTTTTATAAATTAATCTTTAAACAATAATCCTAAATTAATTTTCAGAACACAAATTTGAGCACACAATGACCTGCCCAATTTTAACAGTGGCAAAATACCAGGTGACAAAAAGATAGAATATAAAAAACAACAGTGTGTTCTCCTAACAGGTTTAAATACTGGTTAAAGAACACAGATCTAGGCAAGACAATTAATTATGGCCGCAATGATCCAGAGCCAACCTAGACTTAGAAGACCTATCACCAAAAGTTGCTTCTGAGATCAAAATTAGGGAAATGATTTTTCATAAATACAACTGCACACATAGTTTATATTAGAACATTTTCCCTTCCTAGATTTAGGCGTTTGGAATGATAACTAAGTAACTTAAGGTGAGAAGGAAAGAGATTAACATTAATTGAATGCCTACCCACATTGCTAAGCATTTTCACTTTTATTTCTTTTAATCCAGACACATCAGGAGCTACTTGTTGTTATAATCATTCTTAAAGATAATATAAAGTTTAGCCTTTCATTAACATGCTTCCATAGAAAACAGAACAAGGATACGCATGCTTGATTATCCAGAAATAAGATGACATAAGAAATTGAAAGTATACTTACCCAATGCCCTGAGCTATATTTTCTAATTGCCGACACATGCAAGATCGAACTTCATATTCTACATCTTGACAGAGTGATTTTACCAAGGGAAGTATTTCTCTTTTAATGCTTAGAGGAGAAGAAAGAAACATGTAAATGGGTGAGTGTTTTGGAATAATTAATATTTTCAAACAATTATCATCAAAATCTTAGCTTAATAATAACAAATATACTTTAATATAAAGCTTTACAGTTTCCAATGTATTTTTACATAAGTGATTACATTTGGATGTTATCAGTAACTGTAAATTATGTATATGACTGTTTTTAAAATAATGGTTAATTTTGGATTGGCAGTTAAACATTTAGCTAAGATAAAAAAGGCTGCAGGCAAGTAGAATATCTGATTCTACCAAACCATCAACCAAAATGTTCTGCAATTTTATATTTTAACTTTTGTCATAATTACACTCCATTCCATCTTTCCATTTGGGATTTATCATTTGGGCAGAAAGTAGCATACAAATTATAAACCTATAAAACCTCAAATAAGATGCATTGTTCAAAATAATGAATTTGTAACTTATAATAATAATGGAAGAAAGCAGAAAGCCTGTTCTTATGTCATGTTTATCAATTTTTGAAGTCTATACAATAATGCCATTTTATCCTCAAAACTACACTAAATATGTGACAGGGTAGATTAAGATGAAAAATAGAAGAAACCTTAACCTTATTTTTTAAATATATTTTTACTGATTTCAGAGAGGAAAGGAGAGGGTGAGATAGAAACATCAATGATGAGAGAGAATCATTGATCAGCTGCCTCCTGCACGCCCCCTACTGAGGATTGAGCCCAAAACCCAGGCATGTGCCCTGACCAGGAATTGAACCATGACCTCCTGGTTCATAGGTCCACGCTCAACCACTAAGCCACACCAGCAGGGCAAAAGTTAACCTTATTGATTTTGAAAAGAGATGAGATCAAGAAGAAATGCATCTGAACAAGTAGACTTCTGAGAATTCTATAAAGTTAAAACAGCTAAATTTGTATGCAATATGGAGTAATACAAATCTATTGTTAGTCACAGAGTTATTATTCATTTTTAATCAATTTAATTTTATAAAGTAGACAAAAAGTTAATACGAATACTCACGTATGGGCATCAAATTTGTTGGTCAATTTTCCTAAAATTTTACAACTAACTAAACGAGACTGGACGGTTTGGGAAAGTTGTGCCTTGGAAACAAGTGGATTCAAAATCTGAAGAGAAAGATTTAGAGAACAAATTCACAAAGTTTTATATATTCTTGACACTAATGTCAGCTATTTTCTTCAAAGAATAGTTTTATGTTCTCAATGTTTTTAAGGAATCTGAATTACAATTTGAAATGCAGAAATTATGGATATTCATAACCTAGATCACCTTGTTTGTCTTCTGGGAGATATATATATAAATAAATATATATATAAATAAATATATAAATATATATGATAAAGATGATGATAAATTATGTAACTAAAAACAGTTATGCACAAAGAAGATTGCATTAAAGCTTATGGTGAATTCTGCAATGTCTGTAAGCACCTAAAGTATAATTGGGAAATATATTCAAAAGAAAAAAAGCAAATTATTAGCCATCTACCCTTAAATAGATTTTCATATTTATTCTGAAGTAATCCAAAACATAAATTATAGGTTCCAATAGATTATATTAAGTAATTCTGTCATTTGAATACAACAACCCAAGTCTGATAGTGTATATGTATATGTATATGTATATGTATATGTATATGTATATGTTGGGCACTCAAAAAATCAACAGCAAGATAGATTGTGAAGAACTATTACAATCAGATCCTGACTCTGGTCCCAGCTCTTTAACTTGTCCAAGTCAGCGTACTATTTCTCTTCTACTTAAAATGGAAATCAGAATATGTCATATGAAGATTCCTCCAAGTTCTAAAATTCTATGACTCTAATAAACTGGCTTTATTCCTCTCAACAAAGTAGCCAGAATTACTGAGCACATAATGATAAATATAACTTAAAAGTGAAACATTTCAAATAAAGTAAAACACATATTTAAAATATTTAAAATCACGTTAAATAACAGATGGCATTCTAGAGTAAAAACTGCATTCTACCACACTCCACTCTTCAAAAAATATATAAATAATACACATCAACATTACATTGAACATTTAAATAGGTGTCATCATCTAGATTTTTGGCATCAAGCATACAAGCATCCTTATAAGTGGGTAAATCTTCCCATTTTCAAGCAAGTGTTTTGTCCTCAAGAAAGGACAATAAACTGTATGAGGGCAAAGGATGAAGACACTTCATAAAACCCAGAGAGGACATTTTACTGACAGATTACTGGTTGTTTTTTTTCAACAATGACATATTTGAAAAGAAAAACATATAGGGATAATGTTCTCAGGATGAAAAACCTTTCATTACAGAAAAAAATTCCTTTCTAATTTTCTTACTCTCTCATCTTAATTTACTAAAGCTTTTAGAGAAGGATGTATTGAAAATATCAAAAATTAAAAAGCAAATAACAAATTGGTAACAATATTGGCAATAAATATAACAAAGGACTGGCAACTTTCATAGATAAACAGCACATACAAATAGTAATTAATGATACTCTTCGACAATTCCAAAAGAATAATTAAGTGACATAATATATGAGAAATATATAAAATAGACTAATTTTTAAAATTCTGATTAAAATGTAATGCCATTTTTGGCCCATCAAATTAAATTGCAACACTATTGCTGATGAAAGTCCAGGGAGACAGGCATTTTCACATGCTGCTAGTTAAGATGCTGAAGAATATTAATGCTCTCTGACCCAGTAATTTCACTTTTTTGAAAGCTATAGTTAAATCATCTGAAAAACAGCAAAAGCTCTATAGAAATGTTCATTACTGCCTTATTTTGATAATAAAATACTGAAACCAGGCTTAAATGTCTAACAAGTAAGTAAAATATTTTGTACGTACTGCCAAATGAGTTTAAATTAACATAGGAAAATAATGCTAAGTGAAAACCAAATTAATGCTAAATGATCACTAATATAGCCAACAACCATACTAGTACATAAGGGGGAAATCTGCAATGAAAATATATCAGAATGTTAAAAGTGGCTAAGTACAGAATCATGATTTTTCTCCTTACTAATTTCTGTATTACTCAAATTTTCTATAATTACCATGTTTTGCTTTCAGAGTGGGAAATAACTTTATTCTTTCTTTTAAATACCATTTTTATAAAAAGAACAACTGTGGAGTGACTTATTAGTATTTACTCCCCCACACACACCAAAAGAAAAGAATTACCTCATGCCTTAGGGTTTCTTTGGGCAACACTTCTATCACAGACAGAAGAGTTTCCAGCCATGCATTGCTGACACCTGATTGACACAGATAAAACATGGAAATTTAATCTCACAAGTCTAGTTTCAACTCAGCCATTATTTGCTAAAATATTATTATATGATAAAATGGAATGATAATTATTACCATTGTAAGAAGTTTCTCTATTTTTATTTTAGCCAAGAAAACAAACATTTATATCTTTAAAAATAATATTGGGGAGCCCTAGCTGGTTTGGTTCAGTGGATAGAGTGTCAGCCTGTGGACTGAAGGGTCCCAGGTTCAATCCCAGTTAAGGGCACATGCCCAGGTTGTGGGCTCAGTCCCCAGTGGGGGGCATGCAGGAAGCAGCCCATGAATGATTCTCTCTCCTCAGTGATGTTTCTATCTCCCTCTCCCTCTCCCTTCCTCTCTGAAATTAATAAAAATATATTTTAAAAATAATAATATTGGGGAGCTATCTTTACCCCAAATTGTGCATTTTTGCTGTACAGTTATATTATAAACACAAATGCTGTAAAACTTCAAAAACTCTAAGAAGAAAGTGTAAATCGTAAGATGAACTAATGGGTCTTCAGCTTTCAAGGATACTGAATTTCGTGGGTTTTGTAAGGAAACAGTCAGGGCTATTTTTAGTCACACTAATGACCAACTCTTGGACAGCATGACCCCACTCAGTTGTCCTCATGCGACTAACAAGATTCCAAGATCATCATGACCACATGAGTTTAAAATAACGTAAGAAAATAATGCTAAGTGAAAACCAAATGCTAAATGATCATTTAGAGCAATAAATAACTAACGAAAGAAGCGTGCCAGGCTCCTGACCTGCATCCCTGTGCTCCAGATGCAGTAGAATGATTTGGAGGAAGGAGTGGGCATACGTATGAATTGACACTGATTCTTCGTGTAGAATGGTCAAAAATGATACTGCAGCTGTTAACTGCATTTCCACACCTGCAACATGCAGGACTTCCTGTAGAATCAGAAAGAGTTTGCTATTATATAGGTGAGAGAGCATAAATTGTAAGTTTTAAAAATCCAAGGTCATAGAAACAAACATAGTCACATTCCACAAATAACTGTATATGACTTCCAAGAATATGTATGGCCCGGCCAGCATGGCTCAGTGGTTGAGCTCGACCTATGAACCAGGAGGTCACAACTGGATTCCCGTTCGAGGATGTGGCCGGGCTGCGGGCTCAATCCCCAGTGTGGGGTATGCAGATTGCAGCTAATCAATGATTCTCTCTCATCATTGATGTTTCTACCTTTCTCTCCCTCTCCCTTCCTCTCTGAAATCAATAAAAATATATGTATGCTTGCTTTATTTAAGAAAACTATACTAATCTACTCCTGATCACTTAAGTCATTAGACCACATAAAGTTTAAATGCCTTAGGAACTGATAAAATAAAGATTCCATTGCTTTACGAATGAAAATTATAGAAGTACATAAACCTTTAAATAGTAAAATAGGCATTTTTGATAGATTTCAACTTCTATTTTGCTATCTGTATTGTACAGTTTGCCATCATATCTAGAACAATAATATCAAAGCTCAGACAATCACATGTGTTTTTATTACTTGAACTTCTGGTTCAAAAATAAACATACATTTGACTCTAAAAAAAGAAATGCATTTAAGATTTGAAATGGATTTTCCCCTTTAAAGAACTGACAGGAACATAAATTATCATAAAGTAAACTGCTATTAAAAGAAAAAATGTTTATACATAAGAATGTTTTTTAAAAATTATATTCATTGCCATCTCCATTCACCATTTTTTTAAAATATATTTTATTGATTTTTCACAGACAGGAAGGGAGAGAGATAGAGAGAGTTAGAAACATCGATGAGAGAGAAACATCGATCAGCTGCCTCTTGCACATCCCCCACCGGGGATGTGCCCGCAACCCAGGTACATGCCCTTGACCGGAATCAAACCCGGGACCTCTCAGTCCACAGGCCAATGCTCTATCCACTGAGCCAAACCGGTTTCGGCCATTCACCATTTTTTTAAAATCCTAAATATATATGCAAAGTTAAAGCCTATGTGAGAATATTAGTTTTCAACACATGGAAAAGTAAAAAAAAAAGTTCACATAAACCTTTTCAAATATATTATTTATACTTTAGATAAGAGAGAGTGTGGGTATGTGATGTACTTTGTTTAACCAATTATGGCAATTATAAAACTGAATAACTATTTTATAACTAGCATAGTAAAGTTAGTAGAACAATGTGGAACTTGCAGCCACAAAACAAGGTTTCAGATCTGTAAGCCTAAGAAACTTCATATTTCTGCACCATTTCCTAATATATAAAATGTGAATTATAATACTGTCTTCTTAGAGATTTAAACAGAACTTTTATGACTTACCAACTTGTGTAAATTGAGCATTAAATAATGGCCACTGTACATCCAACTATCCCCTCTCTACAATTAGGCTATCTAGTAGGAATCTCATCTTGGCCAGACCTGAACTGATCTCTTCCCAGCACCTCTTCTCCAACTTTCATCTCAGTAAACAGTAAATGACAACTTAGACCTTCCAGTTGTCAGCCCAAAAATTCTGAGGTCATCCTTAACACATCTTGGACCCTCACACACCAAATCACATGACCAATCAATCCTGATCCAGAATCTGACCATTTATCACCTCCACCATTACCACCTGACCCAGGCGGCCATCATTTCCACCCTGAATTACTCCAATGATCTGTTAGCTGGTCCCTGATCCCATCACTGCCCCAGAGAGAGTCCTGTAAGTCCGATCATGTCGCTTCTCTGTTCAAACCTCCCCAATGGCTTCACAGCCCACTCGGAGGAAAAGGCAGTCCTCGCAGTGACGTACAGATCTGTCCCCAATGCCCCCTTTGTCCAGATTCACTCAGGGTTGGCTCCTGACCTCGTTCAAGCCTCTGTTTAAATAGCACCTTTTCAATGAGCCCTATTTTAACCTGAAAGCCACTGCCTTGTCCCAGTTCTCACCACCCCTTTTACAGGTGTATTATCTCCATCATCCAACAAAGTCATTTGTGTATGGCCTATCTCCCACATCTAGAACATAAGCTTGACTGCCAGGCTTTTTGTCTGTTTTGTTCACTACCGTAGCCCCTGGTCCCAGCACACAGCAGGCATTTGCTGTAATGGCTGGATGACTGAATATCTCTTCCCCTTTCCCCTAAGCATTTTGCAGTTGATGCCCTCCCCTTCACACACATTATCCACATCTCCTAAAAAGCAGCTTCAGGAGATTTTGAGGTGAGTCCTAAAGATTAGGGATTGGTAGAATTAGACACAAGGCAAAACCAAAATGGATCGCACAGAAATGCATTCTTACTATCATGTCACTAGGAGGTGTTCCTGCCATCGTCTACCCCAGCATCTATGGATCGCACAGAAATGCATTCTTACTATCATGTCACAGCATCCCTGTGGCCAAGATTTAGACCGTGTACCCAGACTCCTTGGTTCAGCCTGGTGGGACCCCTGCCAGTCATTGTGCTAGAAGACGTTCTACAGCATGTCATTCTCCAGCAGAAGAAACAAACTCAGAATCCTCAAGCATCTTGCTGAAGGCCAGCGAGCTAGGAACTGGCAACTCTAAGCCTTGTGAGCATGATGCCAAACCTAAGCGCTGAATTCTTCCTCACAGGCTCTGCATTTCCACTCACCACTGAGTAAGGCATGGCTTACGTCCATCCTAAGCCTTCCCCAGGCGGCGTGGGGGCTCTGGCAGTGTCACTCTGGCCTATGTTTATGAGGTACGGTAATTCCCAGAAGGCCTATCAAACATCAGGGTGGCCGATTATTTATTTATTTGTTTGTTTGTTTGTTTATTTATTTATTTATTTAATCCACTCCAGAGGATATTTTTTCCCATTGATTTTTAGGGAGAGTGGAAGAGAGAGTGAAAGACAGAGGAAACAATCAATGTGAGAAAAACAAATTGATTGGTTGCCTCCTGCAGAGCCCTGACCAGGGCCCAGGCCGATGAGGAGACTGCAACCAAGGTCCATGCCCTTGACCGGAATCAAACCCGGGACCCTTGGGTCCGCAGGCCGACGCTCTATCCACTGAGCCAAACCGGCTAGGGCTCAGGTGACTGATTTTTATTTTGTTTTGTTTTGCTTTAAACTTTTGTATCGCACGCACAAATATTATTTTACGAATCTTTTCAACCAACAGGCAATTGTGGATCTTAACAGTTCTTGGCTGAAAGAAAAAGAGAAGAAACCATAAAGCAGAAGCAGAAGCAGCAATTGGTCTCTAAAATCGGCCTCCCGTATCTCCTTGTTTTACTGTTTCCAAAACAAACATAACTCCTCACTAACAACCTGGATTTGGAAAACGTTTTCAAAAGATTCTATGTGGCCAGGATGCATCACTCACAGGTTTCAGAAGACACAGCTTTTATTTAGAAACATAAAGTACTTTGCGAAGAAAGATTAAAAGAAACGGTGAGGGCCACAGTGTACATTCCGGTTCACATGTGTCTGCTGCTTTAAGTTCCAAGAGATGTAATTTTGCACCCTCTTAAAAGGCATTAAAGTCCTGGTTTTGTACGTATGCAAACGTTATGCAAAAGAGGACATGAGAAGCTCTCCAACTTCTTATCTTCCTACTGCGTTACTTAGTCTTGACTCCCGCAGCAACATGTGCCCCAACTATTTTGCATTTAATTTTCAAAAAAATCCTCAAGTCTTATCAGGATTTGGGTTTTCTCTTGTGCTGACTTCAACATTTGGGACTGTCCACTGTTAAGAAACCAGCAGACTAAGAGACTGTATCACTGCTAAAAGCCCACTGACTTCTACACGTCTTTCTGAAACATAGCACAGTAAGAGTTAGATACTTACCCATAAGTACTCTCCTCCAGTCACACCTCTGGACAAACATAGTGAGATCCATACTCTCTGGGTAAATAAGTGTGCATCCTCATGGACCTTGGAAGACACTGAAAAGTAAATTCCTCTATTGCTTAAGTGCGTGCCTTAGCGCCAGTTACCCTTCCTCCTAATGCTACTGTATGGCTGGCATTCCAACTTGAATCCTCAAAAATGAAATGAGACCATTTATAAATGAGTTAATGATACATTTCCAAATGTCAAAAGCTATTCTGATTCCAGGAAGGGAAGTATACTAGCCACTTCTGTGTTGAATTGCTTCTTTAGCAGTATGAATGGTGGAAGCAAGCATTTTATAAGGTAATGTAATGCAGTCCTTGCAGAGAGGAAAATGCTCTGTCTCTAATAAACCCGCATTATATGCATCAAGAAGAGATTTCTCTTTATAATACACAACACAGAGAAGCAATAAATAAATCATTGGCTTATTTCAAAAAGAGCAAGTATTTTAGATGCACACATTTGGAAGCTAAATTAACTAGTAATCACATGGTGCTGGTTAAAAGTAAAGGAGCCCTAAAATTATAAAGAATCTTTGTATATGAAATAACATCACTGATTATTTTGAAATTAAATAACAGGGATTTAAATATTAAAATACTGAAGATCAAGGACGTAGAAAATATTTGAGGATCATAAATGTGGGAATTTTTAGTAGCAATAACAGTGAACAGCACTTTTCATTATAAAATGATAATATTAATGAAAGACTTTAAAACTGAGTTAAATATGAATAATTGGAACATGCCAAGTCTAAGACACCTTTAACAATTAACTACGATAGCTCATTCTTTTCCTTGTCACTAATTGCCACGTTCCCCACTAAAAAAAGTGGGGGGGAGACTAGTCAACATTAATGAAAATCAAACTCAGAGAGAAAATAAAGTGGAGACAGTGAACAGGAATAAAGGGGCTATGCTTTACCCTTCTATAAATCTGTATTTCAGTGACTCGCAAGGTTCATGAGAAGGTACAAATAGGAATATTCCAAAGATCTCTTTCCATTAAGGAAATACCAATAGCAGTAACAACTATCAGATGACTATGTAAATGTGTAATGAAGTATCCACCGTGCAAAATCATGACAACGCCAAACAAACACATTTCATGACAATGACTTTGAAACTGAACTTCTAGCTAGACTACTCTGTCAAGTCATTTTTACATATAATAAAGTAGAATCATGTAATTTCATAATTTTAGCTTAAAATGTAAACAGTAATTTAAAATGCTTCAAATAAAAGATGTGCATATCAAAGAAATGTCTATTTACTGGATATAATAGCCATAAGTAACCATTTCAAATGATCCATTGTAGCTATATTTAATTAGTTAAAATTGTTTTAGAAAAAATTATAAACTGTTTTCTGGGATGGGGAGCATTATAAAGTATGGCAAATTTCTATAAGCAAGTGAAAACAGGGCTTTCTTTGCAGTCATTCAATGATATTTCCCTCCTATCCTAATCTTTCTCTAATGAAAATCTAATTCTGATAATATAATTTTAACTTCATTTATAGCTATGTTAAGTACCAGCACTAAACTAAGTGCTCTGGGAAATGGATAAAGGTCAAAGTCAAAGACTTGCTTCCCTATTTTTGAGGGATTCCTGTTGCTTATACATATTTAAATATTCAAAAATATTTATTTATTTACATTCAAGGCACTGTGCTAGGTGCTGGAGACTTAGCCACAAGCAGGACTAGCAATGTATCTGTTAATACTGTAATTACAACAGTGACAAGAGCTAAGGATGAGAAGTACAAGATGGCATAAGAACCTCTAATGAGTGGCCTGATCTCTTCTGAGGATCATAGAGAAGTAATAAAAAGAGAAAAGAGAGAAACAACTAGACAAAAGTAGGAATCGAGAGGTAGGAAAGCAAGAAGAGTAAGAAAGAAAGAGTGCACAGCCTGGAGAAGTAAGGAGCATGGTAGCACATTCAGGAACCGAAAGGAGGTCAGTGTGCCAGGAGCACAGTCCGAGGAGGGGCTGAGGCTAGTGAAACAGACGGACCCAAACTGCAGGGCCTTAGATGGGTTGAGCAAAAGAATATTCAAATAATCCATCTTAAATGCTCTGAAATGTCATGCCTGTTATAAAAATGAATAAAAAGAGTCAGGAAGTAGTGAGGGAGGGGGTGTGGGAGGGTGGAGTGGGCCAGGATCCCTTGAGAAGCTATTGCATTTACGGGAGCAAACCCTCAGAGCAGCTCGGACTAGGGTGGAGGCAGTGGCTGGGGAGAGGTGGATGGGTTCAGGAAATATTTAAGATATAAAATAAACAAGATTGTACATGTGGGTAGTGAAGGAAGATATGGTATCTTGGATGACTCCCAACATCCTGGCTTGAAAACCAGATGAGCGACAGTGCTCCCCATGAGGAGAGTGGAGGAAGCAGGTTCGGACAAGGGTCACTGGAGGAAGCCCAGGGGGCAAGGGGAAATCCCAGGAGCTCCATTTGGACTTGTTAACTGTGAGATGCCTTTGAGGTATCCAAATAGAGATTTAAAACAGGGAATTGTATTTACAGATCTGACCCTCTGAAAAGGTCTGATATAAATAAGAGAATTTTTATTTAATAGATAGAATTTGTATGGATGATACGTAAAGCCTTGGGTGTGAATGAGATTGCCTTCAGAGAAAACATGGGCAGAAAGTGGAGATCTGCTACTGGAAACACACTTTGACCTCAGCGAAATAAGAGTGCTGAAGAACTCAAAATTTAAATAAAAAGATGCATTATAAGTGTTCGGCAGAATATTTAATTCTAAGTTTTGGACTATTCCAAACACATCATTAGAAAACAATCTGGGGGGAAACCAAGATGGCGGCATAGGTAAACACCAGAAATTGCTGCCTCGCACAACCACTTCAAAAATACAACTAAAAGACAAAACGGACATCATCCAGAACCACAGGAAGGCTGGCTGAGTGGAAATTCTACAACTAGAAGGAAAGAGAAAAGCACACTGAGACTCAGAGGAGGTGCGGAAGTAAAGTGCAGAGGTACTGAGGCACACGTGGAAAGGGCTGGCAACTGAGGACACGGTTGTCTTTTTCAATCAGGAGGGAGTCTCAAGCTCCCAACTGCTCTGAACTCCAGTTC